TTCAAGCGGGGCCAGGGGGTAGGGAAGCATGGAGTCCCTGATGCTCCCCTGCTCAAGAGAGGGTGTTAAAGCAGGCACTTGCCCATATGCTTGCTATTTTGGGCTCCAAAAGGACAGCAGCAGGGCCACCAAAAAGTGCATTTTTTCCTAAAAAGTGAAAAAAATCTAACTTTTTGAAGTTACCCCTGCCTCCCTCAGAGCACTGGGATCTGACAGCACTTTTGGATCCAAGAGCAGTAAGACACTGTGTCTGCGTTTGCACCCGGATTGCGCTGCGTGACGTCTGACCCCAGGGCTCTCCGACACTGTGGACCCCAAGGCACAGAGGAGGTGGGGAGAAAACCCACAAGACTGGGCCAAAACCCACTTTTTGCCAAAAAGATCAGGCAAGAAGCCCATGGGGCAGATGAAGAAGGTGCTGACATCCTGGTACGGCAGCAGCACGATGCATTTAGGGAGCTCCAGTGCATTTTCCACCATAACCTCACATTGCCAGTGCAAACTTGCAAGAGTTTACACTCTGTCTCGCATCTTAATTGCCAACAAGCTGGGGATCCTCAGCACGATTTAAATCCAGCTCTCCATTCAGAAGGAGTGTGCCAAATAGAGAGCATAGCTGGAAACCACGAAATCCATGAAAAATCACTTAAAGCCCAGGGACAAAAGCAAAGAACTAAGCAGACGGGTAATGCACGCTGGCTGTCAGGAACAGAAGGCTTCCTGCAGCTTTCAAGCCCGCACACGTGTTCAGCATCTTCAGCCAACGCACGCATCCGCTCCTCTTCTTCACTCCAGCCCTCCAGCCCAACATGCAACTGCACCAGCTGCCCCTTCCCGGGGGAAACTGCATTAAATGGGTCTTGCAAGGATTCTTAGAGCAAAAATGTTGGTATCTAATCACACCTCTTGTTTGATGGAAATTGACTTCATCCAACATATAGAAACATCTCTGATTCAACCAAGTAGGGGTTAAAGGCAAACTGCTGGAGAATGGCCCCATCAACAGAAGAAAAAAATCTGGTATTGCAGGCTATTGCAACTTAGCCAGAGGATAAAAACAGATGATAGAGGTCGAGGGCTTTTCTTGCAACCTACTTTAATATAAGCATCGAGGGAAACGGGCAGAGGGAAATCTGGCAGTGGTGAGGTGATAAGACTAATTTAAAAATAAAAATGTATTCTAGAAAATGTGAGAGGACGCAGGCTTATTCACATTCGTTTGAAACTTTAAATAAGTGGAAGAGAATAACAACATTCAAAAGCTTACAGTTTCATCTTCGAGCTTCAGACACAAGGTTCTATCTCCCTCCTTGTAATCCTTGATTATTTCTGCTGATTTCCAAACTTCAAAAGGGTCAGGAATCCAAACCCGGGCATACTGCAAAGGGAAAAAAAAGAATGAGTTTAAAAAGCTTGTAAACCTCAGAAAAATCAAGTGAGAAATAAATTGGTTCACCACGGATGCAATATAGACAAGAGGCATCAAGGACAACATGGACACCTAAACAAGGTGTGCAAGGTTTTATGCCAAAAAACATCAACCTTTGAGGTTCCCATACATTAAAAACAGGGTGTTATGAGCCTGCTTTGCAATATAACAGATGTTCTGCTGCTAGGCAGCTCCTGCAATGGTTTTGGTAGACAGCACGTGCTGTTTTGAATGTCCTCACACCTTCTTCAGGAGACATCAGCACTAGGCGAGACCCAGGTTGGTTTGGCAGCGCAGACCAAGGAACATGTGTCTGTGCCACGGCCACACAGGACCTGCTGTGACCATCTCCAGGCACTGCAGGCCACCAATCCAGCTGCATCTCCATCTGGGCACGGCTCCAGTCAGGCTTACCTTGCAATTCCCACCTGCTTGGAAGAGGGAGATGGTAGGAAAGGTCCAAGCCTTGGCTCTTCCCAGGCCCCAGAGGAGCTGGGATGTGGCAAAAGGAGCCGGGAACAGTGAGCACAGTCATTCCTTGCACTGAGACAGCCTCTCAAGCAGCGCCAAGGCTGGAGCCACATGCACCTTCTGCACGGTGGTGAAGACCATGATCAAGGAAGGCCCAAAAAGCCCGGCCACAAAGCTAGGAAGTGTGGGCTTGACACTAAAACTGAGGCAAACAGACGGTAAGGAGCATCTCTCCACTCCACCACACGAATCTACCAGTCCCATGGCTATCAATGGGAATCAGGCAAGAGGAGACACCAAAGCCACCAGCTTTCACTGGAGACAAAACTGCAGACAGGCTTCGAAATGCCAGAAAAATGCCTTGAAAACTCACATGCAACATCTAATATCTCCAGCAAGTCTCTCCCAAGCCACAGCTGTCCTGGTGTTCCTGGTGGTTTGGAAGGTCCCTTCAAAGCCCACATCCCAACAAGGACATAAATCCTTGCCAAAGCTAGCCCAGTGCAGAGACCTTAGATCCTCGCTCTCCAGAGAAACAAGCAGAGCCCATGGATCCCAAAAGCACCATCTCAGCAGTGGCGTTTCTGGGACTTTTCCACCTGAGTCTCCAAACTCACCCCACCAATGGAAATAAGATGCACACAAAGCTTTTCTTGCAAGAAAAAGGGGAAAATCGCAGCAAACACAAACAGTGGTGGTGCCACAAAGATGGCTTTGGTCCTTGTCTTGAAAGCCAAGCCCTCACCATGCTATTCTAGAGTGCTTTTAACAGCAACTCAAGGGTTAAGGAAAGAGTCTTCGAAGCAGCCTGCTCTGCATCTTAACAGCAATAGATTTTTTTTTAATGTACAATGTGCAATTATTTTTAGAGCTGCTCAATAGCTAAGACAGCAGGAACCTTTAGATGCTAATGGGGCTATGCAAGACATATTGCCAGAACAGCAGTTTTGTCAGTGAGGAAAAAATAAAAACAATAAAATAATAAAAATAAAAATAGTCACTTCCTGCCTCACCTCTGCAGGGCTGGCTGAGCACCCCAGTGCCACAACCCTGTGCGCTAGGGACATCAGAGGGCCTTTGATAGCTGGAACGCGAAGACTGACCCATAATAAGACCCTTAGTGAAGCAAATAACTCGTTTTGCACCCCACCAAAATATTAATATTGAGGAGCTCATCCTCATCCCGTTTTTTCTGGGCTCCAATGCTGTGGAAGTAGCCTTGGTGCATCCCGGTGGCAGCACCTCTCCTTCCTATCCATCCTCACCCACCAAGTTTCCTGCGGGACCAGGACCCATCACTGGGACTGTGCACAGAGCCAGGGCAGAGGCAGAGCAGGATCAGCCAGAATAGCTCGGAATCAGGACAGACCCAGCACTAGGAGGCTTCTGGGATGCAAAATAGCTCAGGTCCCACCAAGCCTCCCCTCTCAAGCTGTCACCAGCTTTGCCATGCGGCAGCTCCCCTCGGCCCTCCGACCACAAAACTATAGAACCTTAATTTAAAAGGAAGCCAAAATAGCAAAAAACAACTAACTTTCCAGGTGATGATGCCATATAATCATTAAGTGAAGTCCTCTATAAAAAGCAGTGTAACAACTGCTCTGTGGAACTTTCTTTTTTTAAATAAAATAAACCTCTATTTCTATAATCTCACCTCTCACGCAATTAATAGGCCAAGTCCTGGCTTCGTTAGCTTTAACGACCTCTTGCTCTTCCAGAAGAGCTGGTCAGGAAGGGAAAAGCACAGGCAGCCCTGGCCCAAAGCACAGAGATAGTCAGGGCTATCTCAGAGTTGAGCAAAATACAACCCTGGGCAAATCACTTCATCTCCTGCCATTTAGCATCCCAGCTCCTCCAATTCTGCCTCCTGGGACTTACTGTCAATTCACCAGATAAAAACAAGCATGTTCTTTTTGCAACACATGCACACAAACAGGAACATGTTCCTACAAACAGGAATGAATTCATGGGAACAGGAACGAGGTCTGCTTTGCTTTCCAAGGCAAGGCCGGGGTGGTGTCGGAGTAGGAGCCACACAAACCACAACAGGGCGAATCCACATGCAACATCCCCTGGAGCTGCCCAAGAGTCTGTTTGAAATAGTTGTGGCTTCCCGAAGGGCCTTAAAAGGTTTAATTAACAAAAATAATTTTTAAAAACCCACTTCATGCAATAGACAACAGCGCTGCTTTGAGACAGCGAAACAACAATCCTTCAGCTACTGTTTAATGATTTAAATGGTTTAAATAGCTCACATGCAATAACAGCATTGTTGAAATCAATGTTTTCCCCATTATTAAAGTTTTTCCCATTACTAAACTTTTTCCCCCTATTTTGCCAACTGTTATTAAATTATAGGTGCTCCACACATCTGGCCAGTGCTCCAGCCCCTTGCTGCTCCGGGGAGAGTGAGTCCCGAATTGCAGAAATAAAAAACACCCTTTTGTTGCAAGACTTGCAGAAAATCAAGATTTCTTTTATTATTATTTACCGCCGCACACAGCAGAGCAGATGGCGAGCCCTGATCTGCTCCTTCCCATCCTCCCTCGCAGCTCCGCACCGGCCTTGGGAACACATCACGACAACCCCGCTGCTAAAACGGTGCTAAACCCTGGGATTTAGGACAACGCTTAAGCTCACTATGGAAAACTTGCAGCGCTGGGTCAGAAACGCGGCGGCCTCAAGCACCTGCCCAACACGGCTCCCTCCTGGCCTAGATTTTATTACGGTTGGTTTGTGCAGTGCCCTTGAGGGATAATTTTTCCCCCCTGGGTCCAGAAATTGCATGTTTTCCAGCACACATTTAAGATCCTCTCCAGCCCCTCTGAGGGGGACCTGCCACACACATGAGTCGGCAGCAATGCATTAAAAATAATAATAATAAAATAAGATGGCAATGCACACTCCTTGTGACAGAGAAAAGCCCCTTAGTAAGTATTAAATGCAAAGGCAGGGCAGACCCAGCTATGCTGTGCTGCATTATTTCTCTTTATTTTCCATCTCTCTGGGTTAAATAACTGTGTCAAGCCCATGTTTGACATTCCAGCTGGGAAGAGCACTCTTATCTGCAAAGAATCCCCAAACCAGGCATGGGGGCACCCCTGGTGTTTCGTGCATGGGTGCAAAGGATTTTTGACCTAGAGTTGTATTTACAGCGTGTTTCTTTCTCATCAGAGGGTGCTCCTGGAGGCCGCTTTGGTCTCTCTTCACTGTTAAGTAGTGTTAGGACAGAAAATCTACCGCCGGCGGTTTAAATAAGCAATGTCTTACTGGTCCTAATTTAAAAAAAATCCAGCAATAAAGTTCGCCAGCAAGGAAACCTTGTGTACCTGGAAAGCTGCACCTGCGATCACAAGCTAGCAAAATTGGGAAAAATAACTTTAAATTACTTTTAATAATTTTAAATTACTTGCAAATCCAGGTTTTGCAAGAGTCCTTCCCTCTTTCAAGCAAATATCCTTCAGAAGTGAAATTAAAACCACAAGCAAACAGCTCTGGGATAAGATTTTTCTACATTCTGGCATTTTTTACGCAGAATATTTCATGCACAGACACTCATTCCTATGCAAATCCATGTGCA